AACAGATAACCTCTTTAGCTATTGGGTATATAAAGTAAAACATCGATCCAACACATACCCAGTCATGAATAGCTCAAATTAAAAAGCCCGAATTCACATGAATTCAAACTCACAAATGCTTATAACATAAACTAAATTCCTGATCACAGCCTGGCAGTTTGGTAACAGTGAGGAGCCTGGACCAGGATATGCCTCTGGCCCCACACAATCTGTTAGCCCTGACAGGATGACACAAAGCCTTGCTGCTTGGGGTCACAGTGCGGTCATCCTGTTCCCAACAGAACAGCCTCATGTAGAGATGTTGGGTGGGTAATCTGGGAGCAGACAGGTCAAGTGAGGGCAAGTGGCCAAAGCCCTTAATTCCCTCACATCTCCTCCCCAATCTGTCTGTTCTCATCAGTGTCTTCCTGCCTCCAGGATTCATCAATTCCTGCCTGAATCTATGTCACTGCATGTCAGTGGGTGGCTCCTCATGCTCCTCCATGGGCAAGATCAGGCAAGCCTTGGGGTAAAACTGCCTTGTTGGCTCGTTTTTACTGGACACCTGTGAGGCTCAGGAAAGCTCAGCAGGTTTTGCCATCCTCAGATTTATCTTTCCATCTCAGCTACCACTGAATTTTGAATTATAGAGAAGGAAAAGCCCAAATTCTACTGAGGCTCCAGAGTAAATCCTTGCCCACTTGAGATAACAATCCCTCTCTCCCCATCTTCCACTTAACATCTGCATCCCTAATTGTTTTCTGCACAGCCCTGAACTGGCTACTAGTTTGGAGATTCTGAGGGTCTCTTTCTGAAGAACAGCAAAGGCCACAGTGGAAATCAGAGCTAGTTAGAACACTAAAATGCTGCATCAGAGTGTGTCTGGAAGGGGCAGCCTAGTCCTTGTGAGGCTTGGGAAAGCTTTACGAAACACTTGGGCCTCAAAGGGTAGGAAATGGATTGTGAGCAGAAAAAGGTTCAAATAGCAGGCATCCAGAGGAGCAGCATGAGACAGACAGCAGACATAGGAATCTACAGTGTGAGGTGAGGGGGTTACAAGTGAGAAAATGCTATGTGCAGTCTGGAGCAAAATCCAGGATAGATTAGGGTCCTGCTGGAGAGCACTTAGAATTTTTTTTAATGTTTATTTATTTATGTCTGTAGGAGTCAAAGAGGGTATCGGGTGAATCTCTTGGAACTGAAGGTACAGACAGTTGTGAGCTGCCATGTAGGTGCTAGGAATTGAATCTGGATTCTCTGGAAGTGCAGCCAGTTCTCTAAACCACTGAGCCATCTCTCCAGTCCAGAGGACTTTGAATTTTGAGCTGAGTTCTGACTCCAATCAGTAGGTGGCAGAGAAAGTCATAAGGGGCTGGGATGGAGTTGGAGTATACAAGGAAAGCAAGGCTGTGCTTCAACAAACTATATAATCCAGTGAAAGTGTGCCTATCGGACAAATCATGGGGCTGGAGACTGGAGTAAGCTGAAGTGATAATGAACCTAGGTAGGAGACTAGCCAGGAATGACTCCCCAGTGTACTCTACATGACTTCATCCTGCTTAGAGCTTCCATTACCTGCCAATAATTCCCACTTTCTCCATGTCTCTTCTGAGATCAAACTCATAAACACCTGCCTACAAAGTACCTCCCAACGAGCTTAGAGTGCCTCTAATTTAAAACACACAAAGTGAATTTCACTTTTCTTATCCCAAACACATTTTCCTTTCCAGAGGTCTTTGAAGGTATGATAACCTGATCCAGGGTGCTAACACACACTCAGACACTTTACCAACTCCCATCTCAAATCCTCTGCCAAGTTTCTTAAGACTCAGTGTTATCTCCATGGTTAACATGAGAATCCAAGCTGGTGTTACCTCACTGAACAACAGCTCACCTCCATTTATCTTCTCGTGTGCTATTATTGTTCCACACGCAGAAAGTATGATCATTTCAAACTTCAAACTTAAGTCGCCATTCTTCCTCTTCTTCCTTTTTCCATAGTTCTCAGGTTCTTTCCAAATAAAAACTTAAATTCTGAAGGCTTGTAACAGCTAGATTGATCTGTGTCTGTCTCTCTCTCTCTCTCTGTGTGTGTGTGTGTGTGTGTGTGTGTGTGTGTGTGTGACTGTGTGTTGTCTTTTGAGTAAGGGTTTCTCTGTGTGGCCCTAACTGTCCTGAAACTTGCTTTGTAGATCGGACTGGCCTCAAATTCACAGCAATCTGCCCGCCTCTGCCTCTAAAGTGCTAGGGTTGAAGGCGTGCACCACCACACCCAGAACTAGACTGATTCTTACCCACACAATTCCAGCCATAGTAGCCATGCCATGGTCCCTTGACCCCCACACCATCTCTGCACAGCTATTCCTGATTCTGCCTGTGTTTTTCTGTCTCTTCTCAACAACTAAAAGCCTCCCCCCCCCAGCTGAAAATCACCTGCTCAGAGCAGCTTTCTCCACGAGCAGCTTTCAGTAATCTCTCTTAATCATTGTTTGAGACAGCTGAGTCCTCCAGAATGTCCTTTAATTTCTAAACAGCTGAGAATGGACTTCAATTTCTGATCTTCCCACCTTCACCTCCTAAATGTGGGATCTGTTTTATTGGGTGCAGAGAACTGAAGCCAGGGCATCATGCATGCTAGACAAGCACTGTGCCAACTGAAGTACACTCCCAGCTCCCGATACCCCCTCCTTTTACTCTGACCCACAGAGTACTCTGTGAACCAGAACACACTGTTTATATAATCTCACTTAAATGTGTTATAAATGCATTTGAAGTCAATTTCTACTGTGATCTCATACAACCTCCATAGTACTCAAAGTACAGTTTTTGATTGTTGTAATAATGGCCATTTTCTTTTTAACCTCTGTTCTCTGTTGGGTTAAAGGGTATTTCCTAGCATCATCCATGGGCATTTTGAAATATCTGGGCAATATGGGTTAGTACTTCCCGATGTAGCAATATCACAGCGACAACGAAGAACTTGATCAGCGCAGCTATGGAATCAGTGAAGGGTAGTATAGATGGAGAAAGTCTTCACAAAGTTACTTCTCTCAATACTAGGAAGACAGGAATCCTGTTCACTCCTTTTTATTCTCTTAGCACCTAAATTATAGTAATGGAAAACAAAAAGCCATCTCCCAAAGGACACAGCTTAATCCTTAGCTTCCTTAGCTTCACATAATTAATAAAGCAGAAACTACTTGCAGATGTGCAGTTATACAAGTCTAAAACCACCTGCCTCAAACGCCTCAGTTTTTGCTTCAGAGATTATGAGAAAACAAGTTTATCCCAAAGGCAAAAAGAATTGGCTTTGGAAACAAAATCTTCAGCAGTAGCAGCTGGGTGCGGCAATGGGGAACTACTGTGTGGATATATACAAAAGTACATAGGTTGTCCAAGATAACTCAGAAGGTAAAACAGAAACTTGTATCAGCAGAAAGGAGCATTTTTAAACATATCATTAAAAAAGCAAACTGGAAATAAGACACATTTTGTACTTACCTTTTAATTCCCAGGAGAGCTTCTCTGTGGACAGAATATGAAGACATGAACAGTACAACAGATGGTGTAATCTCAGCTAAGCTTTTTAAAAAGTCACATGGACACAGAAACATAAAGGATTTTAGAGTGATTAAACTAGTTGGCTTGTTGCAGAAAATTCTCAGACAGCAGGAACTCAAGTACTCCAGCTAAGTATAGTATTTAACATACAACGAATCTCTCATGGCTTGTTACTCTTCACTGTGTTTATATCTAATTCCTTAAAAGCTTGTGTTTGCCTCTTACAAGTCCTGGTTTTGGGATATGCATATTCTTTTTTTCATATAGAATATAATTAATCTGGGGCTGGAGCAATGGCTTAGTGGCTAAAAAGCACTGGCTGCTCTTCCAGAGGATCTGGGTTTGATCCCCAGCACCCATATGGTGGCTCAGAACCATCTATAACTCCAATCCCAAGGGATCAGACTCTTTTCTGCCTGTGGCACCAGGCATGCATGTAGTATACAGACATACATGCAAGCCCAATGCCTTACACATAAAATAATAAAAATATCTCTAAGTATAAAATAAACAATTACTTAACTTTCTGATTAATTTTGAATTTTATTTCTCCACTTGATTGAACATTGATGTTTAACATATGGAGAAATTTAGGTAATAAGTAAAAAAATCCAAAAAACCCAAATCAGTAAAGGGCTGGAGGCTCAACAGAATTATAGATGCAAATTCTGTTCATTGAAAAGGCTAAGAAATGACCAAGGATTGGGGGTGTAGTCAAGGGTACATCACTCACCTGTGTCTTTCTAAGCCTGGAAAGAAACAGTGGCTACTGCTACAACTTACAAGCAGGCAATATACCAGGAAACAAAAGCTGAACAAAAATAATGCTCTCTTTATAAGAACCTTGCCGGCACCAAATATAGATCAGAAACAGCTTCTTTCCAACTAGAGTTCCACACCTCCTTTTCTGGTTCAGTTGCTGAATCTCCCCAGTCCCTGCCCATCAATGCTGGTATCCACGGCGATAAGGCCATCTCAACACAACTCATACAATCCATCTTCCACTGCTGCTCTTCCTGCAACTCATCTCAGGGCAAGAGGTGAAGAGTTCAAATGAAAAGGTGTACAGGCCTCTGTGGTCGGGGAGGCTAATTGTATCAGACCTTAGAACTCATGAACTCAGGCACACTGGGAAAAATAGCCTATCTCCTAGCTGTCCAATATGAAACAGCTCTATTCCCTAGGTGTACAGTAGAAGGCAATGTATATGCAACTACAAAAAGGGACAAAGGCATTAGTATATCACACCTAAGGGCTCTCAATTCTACATCATTCCCAAAGTTGATGGTGATCCTTCTTGCTATCCACAGTCAGATTTTACAGCCAAAGTATGTGTTTAAAATCATTTTTCTGCAGCAAACACCTATTTATTAAATTTGAACTTTGGAGTGAAATGCTTTAGCAATGTGAAGATGAAATGTGTTAAATGATTCAAGAGAGAATAAATCAGGGGCAAAAGCTCAAATTAAAAAGTGAAAATGGTATTTATTTAGCTTTTAGGAAATTAAATAACAAAAACCAGAATAAAGCAAAACAAAAACCATAACATGTCATATGACTGATCATGTCCCAAGCACAACAGCACTTATTAATGAATATAAAAAATAAAATTTACCATTTGTATTTGCTCTTTCCCCAACTTTTACTACATGGATATTTTTAGAAGCTTGAGCTAAAGAGGAGAAAAGAAGAATCCCAGAGCTAGCATGTGACTGAGATTATGGTCTCATAGGGAAACACATTTCTATTGCTGGAGACCCACACAGTTAGATCCCTTGGAACTCTGGACTAGCACTTTCATGAGGAACACAGGCACTGTCTGTCAGAGCACCAGCCAATCTGGTCTGGCACTCGTCGGATTTTATAAGCTCTCCAGAGAACAAAAGTTCTAAGCTGTCAGCATTCCTGGCAGCCCAGTCTAATGCCACTGCCATCGTTCTCAGTAGCAGCCTCCCAACTGCACCAAACTGGGATTAACAGAACTGTAGGTCAAACTTTGACCTGGAAGCTGGAGGGCAGTTGGTAGAGGAAAATAAGGAGTAGTGCCTGCTAACTCTACTCCGTGAACATCTTCAAGGAGTAACCAAGTGTGCTGACTGTATTTACCCGCCAATTCAAAACAAGCCTAGAACAGATAAGTAGGCCACACTAGGCCAAGCCTCTCAAAACAGAGGCAGTTAGTGAGTGAAGGCCACTGCCCATGCTAATAACTTCAGTTCATCTAGGCCCTTTCCAGAAGAACCTTATCAACCTCCTGATTCAAGAGGTAACTCTGGCCAGGGCAGAGAATAGAGAGAAGCAGGACTTCCAGCTACAGCAATGCCGCATGAAGTTTAAGTTGTGCAGAAGACTACAGCGTGAGACGGCAGCATCACTGACATCTAGAGCTGCAGTGCTGGCCTGCTGGACCACACTCCTGGAGGGTCTTAATGAAGCTTAACGGCTGTTGCCCAGATGTCGTTGCTGGGGATCGGGGGAAGGACCCATCCTTGGGGAACGGAGTTGCCTTTAGGATGATCAGACGGCACCAGGTACTGATCCCAATCATGCCTTAATAAGAACATTACAGAACAATGTTTATTTCTGGTTTTCCCCAAGCAAGACACTCAGAAATTATATTTCATATCTAGGATACTGTTTTCAAATGACAGATGTACTAACCTGCTACAGAACTGGTTTTCTAGGAAGTATACCAAGGGTTACATTAATGTACACATTTAAGGAAAAACTAACTGTGCAGACAGCCAAACAGTGAATGTACAGTTAACCCTCATTATTTGTATATTCTGTATTTGTAATTTCTCTAAGACAGGGCTAGGGCTGACCTTGAACTCCTAATCCTCCTTTCTCCACTTCCCAAGTGTTAGGACTATAGGCATGAGCCACCACACTTGGTTATATTGGCAAATTTAAATCGTCCCATATGTGGCATTTTCATGGACAACCACAAATTCAGAGAGAAAAAAAAAAAATCTGTCACCATTCTGCTTTCTTCTTTTCAGCTCTTACAGTATAAATTAGCATCCTTTTCCTAGTTTACTCTGTGCCACAATTTTCAGTTTTGTGCTCCTTACTGGTGACCTTACTGTTTAAAATGCCACCCAAGTGGCCTGGTGAAGTGCTATTATTGCTAAGTGTGAGAGAATTGTGAGGCACCTTGTGGAGAAGATAATGTGCTCTACAGCTTTGTTGGACTCAGACTATAGTACCATCAGCCCTGATGCTATGCTTATAATCAATAGAATACATTATATTAGGTGTCATCAAACAGACACATGAAACAAGGTGGTGATCAGCTAATAAGAAGAGTTAAGACAAAGGCTGGAGAGATGGTTCAGCAGTTAAGAACACTGGCTGCTCTTACAGAGGATCCAGGTTTGACTTCCAGCATCCACATGATGGCTCACAACTGTCTATCACTCCAGTTCCAGAAAATCTGATGCCTTCTTCTGGACTCCACAGGCAACAGGCACACATATGGTACACAGACATACACTCAACCAAAATATCCAATCACGTAAAACTAAAAAAAAAAAAAAAAATCAAGACAAGAGGCTCAGCTGTCAGGAGCAATGTTCAGTATTCTGCGACTCAATATTCACATAACTTGAGCAAACACCCGTATCATCAAGAATATGTTTAAAGGCAAAAAACATACAGGCAAAAGTTAAAACTCTTCCTGAAAAATAAATGATAGGCCAGAAAATTCCTTCCCAAGATGCAGAAATTACAAGAGTGTTGGAAGGAACCTCGGTTCTTTTCTTTGAGACCCCTAGGTCCTAAGATATTTTAGCCTGGAAAACAACAAAATGCTGCTAGGCAACAAGTTTATACAGGCTGGAACATTTACTCATTTACTTCGTTTTTACCTCCTGACTACCCAAAAGTAGTAGGCAAGAGGCTTTGCTAAAGCTCAAAAGGCACACACTAGCCTACCATTTTCATTTTATAGGTGAGGGCATCATAACCCAGACAGCTGAGAATTACCCAGCTCCTGAGCAGCTGGTTCAGCTGACAGCATTGGGCTTTAACCCACAGGCACTCAGGCCTTAGCCTCTACAGGCAACTATTCAGGAAAAAAGGTTTCTCTTCCTGGGTTGATGTAACAGCAAAATAGAAAACAAGGCCAACTATGGTGATGCTGCCTTTAATCCCACCACTGAGGAGGTGGTAGCAAGTGGATCTCTGTGTTTAAGGATACCCTGGCCTACAGAACAGACACAGCTGAGTTTCTTTATCTGCTCAACTGGAGACACTGACTTCCAAGAATTAATGAGGACTTTTAAGATACCAGTGGCACTAGGTGTTGACACAAACCTTTAATCCCAGCACTTGGGAGGCAGACACAGGCATCTCTGAGTGTTCAAAGCCAGCCTGGTCTACAAAGTTACAAAGGGAAACCCTGTCTCAAAAAACAAACAAAATATCCTAGTGGCACTCTTCAAATTTGCCAATACCATGCACCCCGACAAGAGACCTCAAAGCATCTCATCAGGAGCTTACTGCTACCAAGCAAAGGGAGAGAAGAGGCTGCCCTTCTGACCTTATCTGAATGAGCGCAGGCAGGGAGTGCTCAGCCTGGAGGTAATACTGGCGGAATGGCTGCAGGAGGTGAGCAAGTGGGAACTCCTCTGAAAGAGAAAGGCATAACATGTCACCCTGCTTGCTGTTAGGAGTACAGTCTCAAGGCAGGTTACAAGGCGCCACTGATTATGACAACAGGATAACTTCATCTCCTCCGTAACTCTGACTTCCACCATATAGTTGAGAATCTCAACTTGTAGTCAGGACTTCCTTTCCACTTAAATTGGGTTTCTCACTATAAGAACTGTCAACTTAGATCTTTCCTCTGTCTCTACTAGCAAGGATAAACTTACCGGGATCTCCAAATAACTTGGACTCAATTTCTCGTTTCTGAAGTAAAAGTTTCTCTTTCTCTTTTCTCTGTTTCTTTTCTAATTCTCTTTTCCTCTCTTCTTCCTGCTCTCCTTCCAGCATAACTCGGAGGGCTCTCTCTTCAGCTTCATACAGTTCAGAGCGCTTTTTAATGAGTTTTCTCAGCCGCTGAAGATGGTGCTCAAAAGTTTCATCTGCTGAGGCAGGAGGACAGACCCCTGTGCAAAAAAAAGCAAATGGAGTTTCTTTAGCCTCTATATTCCCAGGCAGAGAGCTCTAGGGCTGCAGCTTTCATGAGTTACTCATACTGGGTTGGGCTTTTCAGTGATACAGCTGCCTTCGAGTCCCCCATGCTCCTGTAAGTCATTCCCTCACTACACTGTGTAAGCTACCCCATCAAACTCACTGGTTCAGTTAGACTTGGGTGGAACTGGTCTATCATCAGTGTCCTATCTGGAGCAATTACCCAAGACTGAACTCAAATATCCCCAGTAAAGGTCCTAAGAGGCAGAATGTTGTCAAACAGCTGAGGAGAGGAGGATCCTCATTGAAGGATGTAGGATGGTGCATCTATCTGCATTTGGCTTTGAAGTGCAGTGAGATCTTAAAATGGCCAACGGATGGGACTCAAGACTTCCAGACAAACAGACCAGCAAGAGCAGACTGAGGCAAGTCAGGAAGGCAGGACTAAGTACTTCCAGAAAACCAACCCAGATGGAATAAACATCTCCGAGGAGGCTTTGGTTGCCCGGCTCAAGTGCCGGGTTCCCTCCAGAGGGCAAGGGCAATCTGTGGAGATCTAAGACCAAAGGTAACATGAGGAAAGCTCAGGACATCCATACTCCAGGCCCTGTCCAGTCATTTAATTCCTTTCCAAAAGCACTAGTTCAGGTTTAAAATGCATCTGCAGGAGCAAGCATGTTTTCAGCTTGTTCTGGAGAGGCAAGTAAGGGATAAAGGTTTGGCATATGGCAAAGGTTCAGCTACAACAGAACAGACCTATACAAAAGTGTAGTGCTTTCCACACCTACCTCTCTTTGCAATTGTGACTACCAAGGATGCCTTAGTCACTGTTCTATTGCTGTGATAAGACACCAAGACCAAGACAACTTATAAAAGAAAGCATTTAATTTGGGGTTGCTTATAGTTTCAGAGGGTTAGAGTCTATGACAATCAATGTGGGGAGTATGGTGGCAGGCAGGCAGGCAGGCAGGCAGGCAGGCAGGCAGGCATGGTGCTTGAGTGGTAGCTGAGAGTGTATGTCCTGATCCACAAGCATGAGGCAGAGAGTTAACTGGGAATGGTATGAACTTTAGAAACCTAAAAGGTTTCAAAACCCCCCAAGATACACCTCCGAATCTTTCCCAAACAATTCCACTAACTGGGGACCAAGCACTCAAATATCAAGAGTCTGTGGTAGCCATTCTTAAACCACCACAAGGGGCTAAACATTTTTCTGAAGCTTTGTGCTTCAGAATTTCAAAGTCAGAAAGTAGCACACATCCACAATTGAAGAACTCATGTGGTGGAGGCAAAAGGATCAGCAGTTCAAGGTCCACCTTGGTTGCTACATATTAAGTGTGAGGCCAATCTAGGCTCCACAAAAACAAGACAGCCAGATGTAGTGGTGCATAACTTTAATCCCACACTTAGGAGGTAAAGTCAGGTGGATTTCTGTGAATGTGAGGTCAGACTAGTCTAGACATATAATGAGCTCCAGGTCAGACAAGGCTAAATATTGAAACCTTATCTAAAAAGAGGCAGAGGCAGAGAGGCAGAGAGGCAGAGGCAGAGAGGCAGGTAAATATAGAGCCAGCCTGGTCTACAAAGTGAGTTCCAGAACAGCCAGAGTTACACAGAGAAACCCTGCCCCTAAAAGCCAAATTAATTAACTAATTAATGAATTATTCTAGCACAATATAATACTAAAATGTAGGAATTTAGTATTTGTAGCCTGAGGGATTACAGTATAAAAACCATTGAAATCATCTTTGTTTGGGGATACAGAGATGATTCAGTAGTTAGGAGCACTTGTTGCTCTTGAAGAAGACCCATTTGGTTCCCAGCACCCATGTGATGCCTTACAACCATCTGTAACTCCAGTTCCAGGGTATCGACACCCTCTTCTGATCTCCAGAGATCACCTTTAATCCCAACACTTGGGAGGCAGAGGCAGGCAGACCTCTATGAGTTTGAGGCCAGCCTGGTCTACAGAGTGAGTTCTAGGACAGGCTCCAAAGTCATAGAGAAACCCTGTCCCAAAAAACAAATAAAATTTTTATTTGTAAGCCAACCATGGTGACCTGTGATCTCTACAATAAAAATGCTGAGGCAGGACAACTGTCACAAGTTCAAAGCCAGCATGGACAGCAGAGCTGAGATTCTATCTACAAGAAAGAAACAAAAGATGAAAAATAAAGGTAAGAAAAGGAGAGTGTACTCCTACCACTGTATCTGGGATGGGGAGGTACTAGGATAAAGGAAGAGGAGAAGGAGGAGGAGGAGGAGGAAGAAGAGGAGGAGGAGGAGGAAGGAGACAAAGAAAGTAAAAATGCAAAGCCGTATTTACCTTTCCTTGCAGCAGCTTCTTTCCTCAGTTTCCTCAGTTTCTCAAGAGCACGCAGAATGTCCACCATTCTTTTAGTGTCTGACTGTTTTTTCCTTACTTCAGATAAGACCCCATCAGCAGCCGCTTTGAGTTCCTGTTCCTGAAGGGAAAAAATGCCACAAGAACTTGTATTAGACTTTCCTGGAGGTAAGCTTCAGATGTTCAGACCACCACAACAGACCAATGAGTCTGTATTTCTATTTCCCAGGCCTGGCACACTACAGTGGTTCTGTCAAGGACTTAGTTATACAACCATGTCGCTGCTTTGTTTGCTGAGACTGCCCCTTATGGGCCCCATGCTGGCCTTGACTGAACTCCCTATCTTCTTACCTCAGACTCCCACTGATGTTTTCTACCTCTCCTAGCTGATCATACAGCCTTCTCCCCCTTTTTGATTTTGTTTTATTTCTAAAAGATTGTCTTACTCTGTAGCCCAGACTGGCTTCAAACTGCAGCATTCCACCTGGCTCAGACTCCTAGGTACTGAAATCACAGATGTGAACCACCACGCCCTGCTCCATATAACCTTAGAGGGGAACCTCTCCTCTCAGCAGCTTCAATACCTGTACGGAGCTCTTGTTTCTCAGTGTTTCAGGTGTGGTCCAGGAGTGCCTTCGTCTAATTTACCTTTCAAGCTGAAGTTCTATTAAGAATACAAATTAACAGACCTATCAAGCCCTGGAGCTCAAGCAAGTAAGCAACACTTCTCCAAGGATTCTTCATCAGCTCTTGCCTCAAGGTTCCTGCCATGTTTGAATTCCTTCCCTGACTGCCTTTAATGATGAACTGGGATGTGGAAGTGGAAGTAAAATAAACACTTTCCATTCCAAGTTGCTTTTGGTAAAGCGTTTCATCACAGCAACAGAAACCCTCACTAAGACAAAAGTGTTAGGCTGGGAGTTGGCGGCACACGCCTTTAGTCCCAGCACTCGGGAGACAGAGGCAGGCTGATATCTGTGAGTGAAAGGCCAGCCTAGTCTCCAGAGTGAGTGCCAGGATAGGCTCCAAAACACCACAGAGAAACCCCGTGTCGAAAAAAAAAAAAAAAAAAAAAAAAAAAAAAAAAAAAAAAAAAAGGGTTAGCTGTTTGTGGAGAGTAGAGAAGCAACAGGACCCTTAGCACTGCCAACAAGACCTGAACAATGACACCAACAGATGTGCTAGCATGGAAAGGAGAAAACCCCAAAATCCTCAACTCTAAGCAACTGGGGAATGCTCAGAGCAAGAGAAATGGTCTTCCCCAGGGACTAACAGCTCAATTCATTATCTGATACCAAGTGGTCAGCCCTGATACATATATATGGGACTGATCAGGTTGCATTTATGTATATATGTAACAAATAAATCAAGAAAAAGAGGCCATGAATTCGAAAGAGAACAAAGGAGGTACATGGGAGAGATTGGAGGGAAGAAATGGGAAAAGGGAAATGATGTAATTACATTTTCAAAAATAATAAAATATATATTATAAAAAAAAGCAGCAGTGGGGCTGGAGAGATGGCTCAGCAGTTAAGAACACTTGTCACTCTTTCAGAGGACCAGGGTACAATTCCCAGCACCCATATAGTGGTTCACAACCATCTGTAACTCCAGTTCCAGGGGATCCAATGTCCTCTTCTGACCACCATGGGCACCAGACACACAAACATGTACACAAAACACTCGAGTAAAACACAATGAACAAATCTAAAATAATAATAACACCATTCAAAGGTAATGAGGATGTCTTCAACCGACATTTGGCAAATCCTTTCTCCCTGGCTCTACTGAAGATCATGAGATAAACAAGCTTGGAAAGCAGACAACCTAGGCTTAAGTCTGAAATAATATTGGTACAAACTGTGTGACTGTTGTCAAGTTAACTGCTTTAGGTCTCAATCTGTAAAATCAGGGTAATAAATTTCTCAGAGTTGTATGCAGAACATTAGTGTAGTGTCTACTATGGATATAAGTGCTGAACTGGGGTGAGGAAGGCAAGCACAGCAAACAGCGTAGCATCTAGGGAAACCACCGTACTTGGGTTATGCACACTCTGCTCTTACACTAAGTTACTTGGCAGCCAAGCTCCTGTGCCCTCTCCAATCAATGCACCCAGCAGCCTCAGACCTCCATCTTTACATATACTCCTCACTAAACAATGGAACAGGTTTCTTCTCCCCATAATGAACATTGAACTTGGACAGTTTCTATTCAAACATACTCCCAATACAACCTACTAGCCTGAACTGGTTTTTGGTGAATGCACAGTAAGGGAAAAGGTAAACCTGTGTCTAAGTAAACTTTTAGAGACAGTAACCTACTTAACATCTTATGCCTATGCACAATGGGAAGTGCTTATGACTAAAATCAAATGCATTATGGGAAGAAGCATACACAGCAGAAAAGATGACAAGGGCTAACCTCACAATCAAATCAGAGAGCCATCCTCATTAAACACATTAGGAACCAAATTCCTCCTCTTTAACCCCACAAAAGGCAGAGCCAAAAAACAACCACAGACTTTGAGTATCTTCTCTCGTGTGGGCCCTATGGCTGCCAATCTTGATAGTGTACTCCTTTCTAATCTGTACTTACTATTTGCTTTGTTTTTTGAATAAAGTTTTCTTGCTAAGTTTGCAATTCTTCGTGAACCCTTATTTTAATCATCTGAATAAGAGGTCAAGTACCTGGAAACTCCTGGGCAAGACAGACTCATACCACCCCAACACACAGGGACTCGTAGTTTCAAAGTCATAAACAAATGAATCCCGGGGACAAACTATTAATCTCATCAGCTGATTAGACTATAAAGATCTAGCGGTGTGGCCCAAGTCCTCTAAATTTGGATGCTCAGGACAGTATAACTCATAATACGAAGACCGGTTAGAACTGAACATCAGTTAGAGGATCTAACTTTGAAGCAGGGGACAGGAGGTGTCTTCCCAGAAATGCACCAGTGTGAACCTGTCAGGTGTTTACGGAACTTCATAGTGTACGTTCTAGAGTTTTGTGTACCACACATCATCAAAACGGAATACAGAGCAATAAGGTGGGAAAGGCTAGCTTTCACGGGTAAGTATCCAAGCTAACCAGCACGCAGATTCAGGTGCCAGTCACCACCGCTCCAACTACACAGTAGTTCTCACCCGCTTCTTTTCCTCCACTTCCTGCACACACTTCACCCTCCAGCGGTCAATCTCCTGCTCCCTTTCCGTGGCCTGCGCGGCCTCCGCCTCCCGCTCAGCCTCGCGTTCCCGGGCCCTCTCACGAAGCCGCAACCGGCGGCGCCGGACCCTCTTCAGCCTCCGTCGCGCCTCGCCCCCAC